TACCGGCCCGGGCACGGCCTGGCGGGGGAAAGGGAAGGAGAAGGGGAAGGGCAGAGCTAGTGCCGCTGCCGGCGGTACCTGCGCCAGCGCCGCCATCCCTGCTACGCGCCGCGCCGCGCCCCGCCCCCGAGCGCGGCGTCAGCACCCTCACCCCCCTTCGCCGCTCCGCAGCGTCACTCCACCCCGCCGGCCGCCTGAAGGACCCTGGCATAGAGGTGTCCTGCGCCATGCCTGAGCCTTCTTTTTGCCTGGACCTTTTAAAAAAAACCACAACAGGAGTGTAATAGTCTCCCCCCCCCCCATACCCCCTTATCCGTGTGTGTGCGCGCACTCTGCCAACGCTCTGAGAACGACGTGTTGAGCGACTTGGCCGTAAAAACAATGCTCGCTGCGGGTAGTGAGGCTTTCTTATAAACCTCAGGCGCTCGCTCGGGCAGCCTGGAGGAGAGGGTCCTTTTTCCCTCAGCGGATGAAGGTGTGTGGCGGCGGCTCGGTTCATGTGAGTGCCTTTTGGTGGGGCCTGTGGGGCTCCGGCCGAGTCTTGGCGCGGGGGTGGGTGCCTTTGTCCCCTCAGCCTGCTCTCAGCGCGCCCGTGGGTGGTTTCGTTCGGTCGCCGCTCGCCGCTGGGGGGCTGTGTCATGGCGGTCTGATGCCCTGGGACTCCCCCCGCGGACCGGACCGGACCGGGCCAGGCCGGGCCGGGCCGACCTGTCTGGGGCGGGCAGCGGGAGCCCGGTAGGGCCCTGTTAGTTTGCGGGGGGCGGCTGGAGCGGCTGTTCCCTGCGGGCTGTGTGCTGCGGCCGTGGTCGTAGGGAGGCTGCTGCCGTCCCTCTGAGGGGAATTCCTCTGTAGCGGAGGAGCAGGATGAGTGCCTCGAATTAGAGGAAAGGGCATTATGTTCGTTGTTGTTTCATTTACATGAGGAATTTAATCATGGGGCTTAATGTGCGCTGTAGCTGTAGGGTGGCATTGCAGATACAGATACCATACTTTGCGGGGAGGAAGCATGCACGTGAAATGGTTCTTCTGAAATCAGTTGTGTTCCTTTATTCAGCCGATCGATTGAAGTGACAGTTTGGAAGGGGCATAGTGATGGGTTGTTGAAGAAAATGCTGTAATAGCTTGGAAAGTACAGGCACGGAGTATCTACTGAGCTTTGCGTAGGAACAGCTGTTACTAATTGAAAAGTAGATGCTTTCTCCGTTTTGGTAAATGGTATATATGTTCGTTATGCTTTTGCATAAACATCAGTGAATGAAAAACAGAATATAACTAAGTGTTTGGTCCATCCTCAGTAGAGGTACCTGCAAGATTTAACATACAGCACATAGTCTGTACAAGGATGCATGGATTGGATGACAGGGATGAACTTATGATTTGTTGCTTGTTAGGTTATGTTACGAGTCCACAGCTAACCAGCATATGGCGATGTTACTAAAGTATCATATACCTTGAGCTAATCAGTAGGTGGTTTTGTGCTGGGTTTAGTAGCTGGCAAAATGAAGAAAATACTGCTGCAAAATAAGTAATCCTTGCATTTCCTGCTCTTTCTGTTTCTTTAACTTGGATATTTTTTTTTTTTAATACAGTCATTGCTTTTTACAAATAGTTTTGCGATTCAGGATAATTATGTGAAATCCATAGTAAGGTGAGGCAGTAGTGATTAAGTATAGCACCCCATTTTTGTATGCTCTTATCGTTCACTTACTATATTATTCTTCAGTTATGTTTAAATAATAATACATTACTTGGCAGACCTATTGGAAAGTAAGCCCAAAATCTGTAAAATAAAACCAAAGTCCTAAAACTGAGGTTTTTGTACTGGATATTATTAAGAGGGATAAGGCCTTAGAAATGACTAACAGATAGAACTTTGACAAATCTTACCAAATAGTTGGTAAAGTGGTTTTTTTTTGTTTTGACTTTTTTGTTTGGTTTGGGTTTTTTTAGCTAGCCTCAAGGATCTTGTCAAAGCGGCTTCATCATAATATAATCTCCCCACCCTGTTGCAAATTAACAATATATTCTTGTTACGATGATTTTGACTTTAAAGAGTTTTAAGAAATATATTGGTGAGTGCTGCTTACTGAATCCTGAAGGTGCAAGGTGTTGAAGGCAGAGTGATATAAATCAAAATGATTCTTAAAACTATCTTCAGCAAATTTGGGCTCTGGAAGGTGTTTTTCCAGTTGTAAATATAAAGCTTGTGCATGTTTTCTATATATTGCTATAGGTGTGTTTGTTTCTTTTACACCTTTAAATGTAAATAGAGAAGGAAACAACTTCTCATTCCCCAGACTGAAAGCAGATGACAGTCTGGAGAGAATGGTATTGAATAAAAAAGGATATTTTCCAAGAAAAGGACATTTGTGCAGATCTGAACATAGTCTATCAGATTGGAAATAATAGGACTCTTGAGTTCCCTAGATCCTTGAAAACTTGATACTTCTGATGATGAAACGTATGAGAGTGGGAAAACAATCTGAAGAATAAAAGTTTAATGTGGAAAGGTATTATGAAGTTGCTTTGACATCATTATAAAAATAATTTAGTATGAATTTAACAATGGCAGGCTAACCTAGGGTCTCTTTATCAAAGGAGGGCCAAACAGCCCATGAATATTTCTTCATCCTTTTGATTTAGATGTTCTCTGTAATGGCTTTTCTCCTAAATATATTTGACTGAAATCTGTTTAATATGTTATTGTTATTTCAATTATGTATGTTATCCAAGAAGACTAGCAATGAAGTTAATTTTATGCCATGATGGGGGGAAGCAAGCAACCCCCTAGGACTTATTATGCTTTGCAAAATTCTTTAAATCAATTTCAGTTGGCATGAAGCTTTAAAAAAAGTTTCTGGAAGTATTGTAAAAATGCCTCAAAATATTTCTATACTTTTATTATACAGCACATTCTATAGTATAGAACTGTGCTAGTTTGTATTATAAGATAGCAACAGATAACATAAGGTAATAATCAGCTGTAGTGATTTGTATTTTCTTTCTGAATCAACAGACCACTTCTAAAATTGCTGCTGTGTGTAAATTTATAATTATCAGTGGAATCAAATTAGAAAAGTGCCAGTTTCTCAGCTTCCTCCCCCCCAACATTAAAGTAGAATAAATAATTTTATGGATGTCATGTTACTCTGTTCATTTCTGAAAAAGCCCTAAGAAGCAGCAGAGGTAGCTTGTATGTTCTGGAGGACAAGAACTCAAATAATGGCATCAGAATGAAGAGTGGATCTTGAATTGGCAAGCAAAAAAAATGTATTGAGATGCAAAATAGGAGATAAGTTTTATCCAAGACCTCTCTAGACCAAGAGTGAAAAGAAAAATTGAGCTCTCCGGTGCCTGCAAATCCCACCTACTTTACAAGTCCCCTTAAGCATACTAGCGAAGTATCTATGTAATAAAAATAACGTAAAGCAGTTGTCATAAGAAGGATTGATCAAGTGTGCAGGAAGACAAATCTGGTATCTACCATAATATTTTTGAACTTTTCTGATTATGATTTGATTGCTATATGTCACAGCTACCATGTGAATGAATTCATTCACATTTGTCTCTTCTAAGGGAGTGTTTCCTAAAACTGAAAGAATGTCAAATGCTGAACAACACAGGTAAAACTTAGGGGTCAGCATAGAGGGCAGTTGCTAGGAACATCAGATGTGAGCAGAGTAAATACCATCTCTTGTTTCTTGTAGTGATGTGAACTATATGATATCAGTCCAGCAGAGACCCACAGAAGATGCTGTTTATTATCCTTCCAAACAGCTATCTGTATGGTTCTTACTACTGTCACCAAGAAACATTTCCCTTGTTAGATTTTGTGTCATACTGGGGGCAAGGGGGAAATTGATGTTTAGTTTTCATTTCCATGGTTGCATTAGTATTAAAACAGTGTCTGTGTGTGAGGGGGGGAAGTCTCTCATGGCTTTTTTCCCCCTGGTGTGGTGGAAGCCATCCTTAGTCATAATTTTATATGGTTTCAAAAAGATTTGGATACTTCTCAAAGCAGTCTTCTGCTTTCATTGTTTTGATTTTTTTTTTTATGTGTATATATTTTTATTGTGTGTGTGCATGTGCTTGGGAAAAAGTGCTTTCCTTGAAAAAAAAATTTCTTTAAGCAAAAACTGAAAAATGTTTTACTGACTAGGTTTGGTGACCATGGGTCAGTAAGTCATCAGTTAAAGTTTTCACAATTTTCTTTTCTCTTGGAGAACAAGAAAATATAGTACTGTCTGCATTATGATGTTAGGGGTCAATTTCTTCAGGTTGAGTGTAAAATTAATACATTGGTATTTTACTTCACAAGTGGTTTATTTATTCTGCTTTCACAGTTGGCAAATCTCTCTGTTTTGTTCTCCCAAATAATCACACTTGAATATGTGGAAATATCACAATTAGAAGGGTAGGTTTTACTATGTGTTTTTTAAAGTTAAATAAAAGGCAGGAGTATAAGAGGGAAATATTATTGGTTTTGTAACACTGGGTATAATGAAAAGACCTTAGCAGAAGAGGAGCAAAAGATCTCAAGTTCGTTCTCATCTGTTATACCTTAAACACTTCTGACAGATGTCTGCCTAACCTGTTTTTAAAACCTTCCAGTGATGGATATTCCACAACCTCTGTAGGCAGCCTGTTCAGTCCTTTACTTTTACTTGAAAGTTTTCCAAATGATCGAACTTAAATCTTCCTTGCTTTTTCCTGTCTGCAGTAGACCTGGTGAACAGTTTAGTCCCATTTTCATACCAACTTCCTTTGCGTTTGAAGAACGAGACCAAGTCTCCTGTCTAACTTCTCTCCTATAGACTAAACAACTGCACTTCTTTCAAGCTTTTTGATCTTCTTTGAAGTGTCTTTAAAAAGTTGAGAGACAGGAAAGGGGAATCTGAACAAAAGCAACTCTCTCTGGCAATTGGGGGGGGGTCTTGAGTATGCATGAGTACAATGTGAATATTGCTTGGGAAGCCTCTTGAACAGCTGAGACAGTTTGCCTATAATATAATATGGCTAGTCAGGCCTTTCCTGACTTGCCACTTCTTTATTTCCTCCTGTCTCCCTCACACTTCTTTTCTAGAGAAATTACAAGTTTGAGCTGATTTTTTTTTTTTTTTTTTTTGTCTTTTAACTGGAGAGGAGAGGCAGGGTGAGGGAATAGATTCCCAGGTGAGAAGTTTGTTTTTTCTCTGTAATGCTTGTGGTGTGGTGTTGTGTTAATTGATTAATTCATTAGTTAGTTGCCTTTACACTTTTTGAGCCATAAAGTCTTCTAATGGTGAAGTCCACAACAAGCATGAAACATTTTGCAAGCAGGTATTTCCTACCTGAAAATGTAGCCCCTGTGGTTCCAGTCAGTTGAATAGATCTGATAGACCAAGGGGAAGCACTTTTTGAACATAATAAGAATGTGCTAGTTTGCTTAGGTAGCATGACAATTCCAAGTGTTTTGAGATTGTCACCATATTCATTTGAGTATTCCTAAACTGTCCAAGC